TATCCATCAAGCTTTCGGCTCAGCTCTGTCCTGGTGTCAGCTTTAACCTGTAATTGGCTGACGGAGCTACATTGTTCCAGACAAGAGCATATGGACAATAAACAATGTTAGGACACCTAACCCCAGACGTTGGTATAAAATAGTGCTTAACTGAGAGCGAGGGTCATTTTGCCATCGTTTCACCCGGCACACACACTGTATCGCACAGCTACACCACTCGTCTCCAGCTGTCTTTTTGCCGTCATTATTATCTCCTTGATCGTGATCCAAAGACATGTCACTGCATATTTGCGAGAAGTACAGGGATTGGCACGGGAATACTGAATTTTTTGTTGTGCTCTGCATGTTGCTGAGTGTGGAATTTCACTTTGGGTGACGAGTGAAAGGTGATCGAGGTAGAGTGTTAATAGCTTTCAGCTGTAAAGCATAAAACTTACTGGATGTCATCAAGCTAATCGAATGAACCCCGCTATCAAGCAGAGATTTAATGAAATCCTCCAAGTAATCCTAGTTCACAAATAGGCTGAGGGTTCACAAGACTCTACAAGTGTGTGGTGAGAAGGACTGAGTGTCTGAAATGACAATAAACAGGTAGTATTTCGGTACAAAATCCTTCAATTTCAAAGACACCCGCACCTGTCACGGTGACTGTAAGAGAGAGGCTGATGGGAAAAAGTGCATAATGTTGAGCAATGGAAACTGAGGCTTCAGCTACATCATGCAAGAGCACTTATGATCAGGATATATCTCCTAATTTATAAGGGTGTTCTTATATCTATGCAAAAGTAACGTTTCCCTGTGTACCTTTAACATGTTAATCCTTCATAGGAAAAGGCCACAAAGGCATATATATATATCCTGTCATTTCCACCCCTTTAACCTAAGTCTGGTACTCATCATTATATCTGAATGCACTGCGGTGCATGTCACTGAACCACAGCGGGGTCCAGTCTCTGGACCTTCCCCCACTCCGTCAGTAGCTAGGTCAGCCTCGGTGCTTGGTGGTGACTGGTATCTGTCAATGATTGAGCTATAGGTCTCCATTTTTTTTTTTTTTTGCTTCGCTTTCACATTCCTACATACACTTTTAAAGATGTACTATTCTCTTAGTTTAACTTTCAGGGCTTTGAAAAACAGGCTGAGGAGAAAATACATGTTTTTCTCAACTTTTTGTCTTCCTTAGTCCCACCGCGCCATGTTTCAAACGGCACGCCGTGACTCCGAAGACCCCCAAAAAATAATCCCTGCTGTTTTCAGCAGAGGGCCGGTCTAATTGAGCCAGCGCTGACCTCTGAATGTTACCGCGGCCGTCTGGTTTCCATCCCCGCACTTGATTGAAATGGGAAAAAGAGGACCGAGATTCAGCTCTTTTCTTATTTATTTATGTTTGGTTGTCCCCCTGTTTTTCATTGCCCAACTGTGGATTAGCACTCTTAAGACGGGTCCTCAGTGGAGGGGCCCCACTTCCCGGACACACTCAGGGGAGATGGAATGTCTAGCAAGCAGCCAGGACTCATGCTGAATGAGAGGGGGGCTGGTGTGAGCTGTCTACCTCAATGCACCTTAGTGAAACATACTGTAAGAGGGTGCTCACTTAATTTCCCCATGGATCAGCCGCACAATGTTTCGCACGGCAAACTGAAGTGTGAGGTGACAAATTTATCTAAATTTAGGTGAATTGATTGGGAGTGTTGATACAACCATGAGGGAGGTCTCCGCAATGTGCAAAACGAAGCTGATTTATGACACTGCACAGAAAAGTGACAGTTTATATCAGTAAAAAAAAAGCCATCTTGCAAACAATGTTGACTCCATGAGTGTGTGCAGGGGGATGACCACAGCATGCCAAAACTTTGTAGGTTAAGCACATATGACACGGACACGATGATGCTGAGTTTTATATGCTGCATGCTGTCAAACACTGAGTGACAGCTAAATCTGCAGGCTTGTATTAGACCTAAGCCACTGTGTAATTGAATATTAGTTAAATCCTCGCCATACTGCTGAGAGTTGACCCATAAAAGCCAAACCTGTAATTGGAGTACAGTGTTACCCTTAGGCATCACGATTGGCCTACACAGTTGTTTTTTGTTTTTTTGTTGTTGTTTTTTTTGGGTTGTCTTATTTCAAATATGTAATTATACATTTTTTGCAGGTCATTTTTCATCTGAAGTCTGGCTCCCCGACTAAACTGTGTTAACTAATGTCTTTTTTAAATTATATCCCTTGTATTTTGCATATATAAAATCTGGACATAAGCTGAGATGGTGGAATTGCATTTAAACTCAGTGCTTTCCTGTTTTCAGATTTTTGTATGTACTACCTTTATTGAACTTTTGAGATAAATTGCATTAATTAGCATAACTTCCAAAGTAATAATTCACTAAATTAGGTAAGATGTGTTGCTGTAGAGCTGTGTCTCCTAATTAAATGGTTTGTTTAGTACATAACAGCCAGACAACATCAAAAGTCCATCTGTATCACCCCCCCAGTCTCCACATCACACCTCTCCTGCAGATGTCGGCTGCAACTGTTCAGTTTTGTCCTGTTCTGAAGTGGGGGGGGGGATTTTTACGAATTCACAGGTCAGTGATCTGATTGTCCTCTTAGCAGCAGCCACAGCAAGAGAAAAAGGAGGGGGTTCTATCATCCCAGCAGGGAGTAAAGTGTTTTTAAATCATCTTCCACTTTTGTGCCCCAGGGCTTTGTAAGTTTCCCTTTTGAGGCTTCTGGAGCTGCAGCCTCACAGTCCTCAGTTCACACTGTTCCCCAAACCACATGTCATAAAATTAGATTTTATGATTTTTGGTGACTGCAGCCTTCGGAATACTATATAACAAGGAAATATAAAAAAAAAAATTCCAGACACTTTTTTGAAAGCATTTAGGAGTCAGAGCCTTAAGTTAAGAAATGACAGAATGGATGTTTGTGGTTTCGATTAAACTTACATTATATTTGGATGGAATTTCGATTTCTGATGGAGGAAGAGGGAATATATGGGAATAATATGGGAAGGATGAAGAACGCAACTGCTTTGGTTTGGGTTTTTTCAGTGTTATTTATTGAACATGAATCTCTTGAAGCCGCTGCTCTGCAATTTTATTATATTGTATTCTAAGTAAAAATAAGTCTGTGAATGTCACTGTATTTACTGTAGATTGTGAAATTGTGGCATAAAACCTGAGTGAAAGTTGAATGGAGAGAATCACAACTATAGTCACATGGTGAATCTAGATTTTATTAGATAAACGCGGCCTGTTTTCGTTTCGTCCAACATCTCTCAGGCTTGTGTTCTCAAGCAGAGGTGAATTTGACATTTACCCCTCCTATGGACAAAGAGCATTGGCAAAGTGAGGGGGATGGAGAGAGGAGCTGGCAACTCCAGGGCACAGGCCAGATGGATTAACTTGAAAGGCATGGCATTGTAAACCAAATTCAAATTAATCCCTTTTTTGTGTCCTCTGATGGAACAATGGTACTTTCCTGGGCCTTAGAGAGACATTGACGCCGAGGGGAGAGTCAGGCCTTCACCATATCTGACACTCTATTCACATCACTGCTCTCAATTACCCACCGCACAAACCCAGCGCTCTGCAGACTCTGGCAAAATGACTTCACATCATTCAAGGCAGAATCCATGAACAGAATGTGTTTGAATATTAATTTACAAATCTCATCCTAAAGTAAATATTCTTCTCTGGAAGCTGCTTCCTCTCTTTTTTCCCTGCCCTTACTCGCATTTTCAACACTAACGCATGTCTGGATTTCCATATAAAACAGCTCCCCATTCTCCACATCATTTGACTCTGTCCAGGTTTTTTTGGTAAGGAGCGAGGCGTCTTTGTTTTCCCCGTGGGCCTGACACAACTTCGTGAAAAGTGAACTGGAAACACCCCCCCCCCCCTTCCCCGAGCCAGCTCTCGGTTTCGCCGAAAATTTCTGATTTTTGCCACTACTTCATAATATTTATGTATTATTTTAAAAAGTCGTCTGCTCTAAGCATCAGTGAGCCACAGTGTTTCATATTTTATTTCCTTTGGACAGTTTTATGTGGAAGTGTGTGCGTAAATCGCTATTAAATTCCTTTTGGAACAACTTCTTAATTCTCCCTCCCTTTTTTTATGTGAGTGGGGGTCTGTGTGTAACGCACAGCAGAAGTAGGACAAGAGGTCCCACTGTTACAGCGTGTATTATTTGACGTTGCTGTTCATTAATTATCTTCCCGGTGCAGTGTGGCTTATCGCTCATTGTTTCTGTTCTTTGTTTTTGCTTCAAGCACCTTGTTTCACACTGTAGTAATCCCAGCTCTTTGTTAAATCATTTAGCTTCTTCTATATCCTAGGGAATCTTTCATGTAACAGGAGGAGCAGAGTACTTTAGGTTATATGTTACGGTATTAGCATTTGGATTTCTCACCAGTCGTTTTTTTGTTTCTATATTTATTGTAGTATTTAACACGGTGGGGTAAGTGGAAGTTTAAACCTTTAATAAGATGAACAGTGATGTTTTTCAACTCCAGGGAGGATGAGTTGGACACGAGATGGATTCCTGGCTGTCGGTGGTGTTTTTTTTCCGATACAGATCTGTCCTAGAGGCGGTTTGTTGCTAAGTGCCTCAGAGGACAGATTAAAATGGTGGTGAAGTTGAACAGAAATGTTTAAATTTATCACCAAAAGGCTGGATAGGAGCTTGTAAACTCAGCATTTCAACACACCTCCAGCTCCTAAATGACACACACTCTGGGCTCCAGTCCTGCTCTGTTGATGGTGGACTAAATGATCCATGGCGGTGTATATGGACTGCAGCTCCTCTCATTGGTCACACACACTTGCTTTTTATTGAAGCTATACCACGTTAGCCCATACAAATGTTGACTCATGTATTATCATCAAAGCCTCACGCGGCAAATCACGTCACCGCCGTGCCATTCACCGCGCTAACTCTCGTCCTCCTCCGGCCCCCGGTCAAAATAGATTTAGTGTTTTATCCTTATGCGTTAGACCTGCGATCCTCAGCTGCTGTTCCCCTCCAATCCGGAGCCATTTTCTGAGGTTCTGTCCCAGAGGTGACCCCTCTGGCATCTAGCACCACGGCCGATGTGGCATTAAGCTAAACCTCAAATGGTTTACTCGGAGCTATTAATAAAATCTTTACTGACAAGCACATCAGTAACAGGCATTAAGAATGGCCGTCAGTCAGAATACAGAGAATTCTGGTCGGCAGGATAGAGAAAGTATGCCGGAATCTGTTTGTGGAACAGGGCGTGCGGGGTAAACGTTGATATTTGTCCCCTTGCTGCAGCTTCGGGTGTTGTGATGAATGGTGCTGTATAGACTTTTACTGCCCTGCGCATTCCTGTGTCTGGGCTGTTTACTGCCGCCACACCTCGCTTCTCTCTGTGTGTAGCGGTAACCCGCCTCGGCAACACATGGCGCTGTCAATGCCATGAACATTGCCCCAGTGTAGTCACTCTGCCCCCGTTTCAAGCCTAATTCAATCCGCCGCTCGGAGTTGTCGCATTCCAGCGGCATAGCTTCATGGCACGAAGCTCAAGAGATCTGAAGTGCAGAAAACAAATTCTTGCTGCAGCTGTATGAGGAACTCATTTGGAACAATCGCCGACATGACAGAAGGGATATAACTTTCAACAGCATTTTAAACCATTAGCTACTGTCTCTTGTTATAGTTCCCAAACTGTCCAAATAGCACAGCTGTATGATTTTTTTTTTCTTTGTCAGATGGATTCCATGGCTTGTTAAGGCAGGATTTAGTGTCAGTAAATCCACATTAGCCGCAGCAAGGACACTGACCTCTGCAACTGTAATTAGGGGGGCATCTCCAGCTCACTCCTTTCAAGCCTATCCACAGATTTTAGTCACATTGCGATGTGCGGACATCGGATGATTGGTTGGGGACAGGTGAGGATAACAGTTTCACCCTCAGGGTGCCTGTGTGGGCGTTTGTGCCCGAGCAGTGCTCCGACTTGGATATCTCCGGCTGAACAGAGAATCTGTTGTCTCGTTAGTGAGATGTTGATGTCTCTGAAGTGGAGTGAAGGACGCTAGCTGGTGTTAGCGCTCCCTCGGACTCTAAAGCACGGCGGCCCCCCATCTGTATTTCTTTTCACCCGCCGAGTGACTGTCAAGTGTTTTAACCCGCTGATTTGGAGAGAATTAACAACCATGTGGGAAACATTTGCCCGTTTGAGAAACACGCCCGACTCTCAGCTCCCTCAGCCAGCGCCCTGCCTCTGCCCCCATTTTGACATGAACCCCAGTAAAGGAGCGTGTTAGGAAAGTCAGCGACAACTATGAAATCATCTTAGATGGAGGTGAAGTGGAGGATTACGCTGGGATCAAGCCAGAGGAGTGCACAGTGACTTAGAGAGATGATAGAGTTGGACAGAGGAGTTACTGTTCCCAGAATATGGCTCTAGTTGGATTTTTGGAGTCTCTGTAATTGTCTTTTTCTTTATCTACTGTCCTGGAAAACCACCCCACTTTTTTGTGTCCCTACATGTTTTTTTTTTACTCCATTTTCCCATAGGTGTTCATAAATAATGTACCTTTTTTACAGTTCCTTACTGCACATCTTGTTAGTAAGCTCTCTTTTCACTGCCAGATTTAACTGTTTCTGACTGTTTCATCTTTTTAGTTTTAGTGGTTTATCTCCCTGCCGGCATTTTCCCAGGTACCATACTTGGGATTCACAACTTGCTTTCCCTTTTTTTTTTAACCTGTCTGTTACTATTTTATTACAACATTTTAAAGTTTGTATCCTTCACAATTGATTATTTGGTTGACGTTCGCCCACCAGCACGGTTTGATTTCCTTTCAGTTCACCCCCACCTGCTTTTTTCCATTTTCCAACCGTCTATCATCCCTCCATTCTGTTTTTAGATTTTCCTGTGCCTTAGAGTCCCTCTTTTCCCTTTAATACTTCAATCCTTGATTCCTGTGCAATGCAGATTTGTACTTTTTCCTCCAGCTCCACTGTGCTAGAAGACTGGAGCCCTTGTTGAGGTGTTGTTGTGGTTGTTGGCCCAGGCTGTTTCTCAAGGGGCTCCTTCAGCTTGTCTCCCCTTCCCTGAGTGTCCCTGGCCCCTGGCCCTAAACGCCCTCCCCTCCCGCCTCTGCCACAAAGCTGCTGTCAGCTCACAGGCCACATGTGTCAGGCCTAAAGCCCTTATTTAAGACCCGGGCCTTGCTAAGGCGTCACTGTTCAGGCAGCAGATAGGGCACCACGAGAGAGAGGGTGCCGGACACTATTCAGTAGTCCGGAAAGGCACGGAGAAAAGCCTGACAGAAGAAAGTGATGGAAATAAAGCATACCGCTCTCATTGGAACAATTGGTCTCGGCCCAGCTGACACCTTGAACTCTAAAAAAGTGCTTTTTTGTGTGAAGTGGTAGAGAGACTATTCACCCACACGGAGTGCACCTAGTTCATAAGGCTGTGTAGAAAAATGTCAGTTCGGTAGTGTGGCTGGAGGGGACAGTGGAGCTCGGCCAGAGCTATGCACAACGGCTCCTCTGTTGGGCCGACTCTCTCACTGCCGCGTAGGAGCCCAGACACATTAACAAATACAAGTCTCCAATAAAACACCACCCCTGGACAGTGTTCGGCAAGCTCTGCCAGTGGTCTGATAGCCTGTATGCGAAGCACAGAGGAGCCATGCCATTCATTCCATTATACTCTATTCTCGGGTCTGCTTTTCGCTTTATAAGACCGTGGTGAAACAGTCAGGACTCATTCCAAGGCATTGAGTGCCATTATTTTTTAAACACACGCAACATTCACCCGCTAAATCTTTGTTTTTTTGAGGGTTTCCTTTCGTAGTTACCTGCTAATCTTGTCTGTCTCAGACATGTTGGAGACAATTTTGATGTTTTAAGGTGACGCATCCTTAAATAGTATTGTGACTAACCAGGTAGAGATGACTCAGCCTGTCAGCACCTTAAAGTTTCTGTGTTTGGGGTCACAGGAGACAGCAGCCCTAATTGACAATCGGTGATGAGTGTCTAAGCAGACTGTTATTAGAGGACTCACAGGGCCCGGAGCAGCCACAATGGCTCACGGATGTTGCTCCATATGGCGTAGCTATAAACAGGTATATCGTCATTCAAATGATAGAAAGGATACACATAAAAACTGGATTCTGTTTTCGTTCTCCCCCCAAGAGGATAATTTTATCATGGGTGGTGGGCAGAATAATGGCGGTTTCAGCAACTCTAAGGGAAAGAATGTCAGTCTAAGTTTGGTGGAGCAGAACCAGCAGTGGTCCACAGACAGATCCCAGCTCAGACAGAGAAAAAGGGGGACAGGGCAAATTAGCATTGTAGCCAAGACTCAATTTGAGTAGTCGTGAGAGTTTCCTCTCTGTGGTCAGGGGGAAATATTGGACATGAAAGGTTTGAATTAAATCGTCCAATGTGAATGCCGGTGGATGTTTGCACATAATATCTAGAATGGTGAGCATTTCCTCAGGCGTATTGACATTTTTTTTGTGTTTTCAAATTGCATTACTTCCCCAACCCGTATTTAGTTGAAAACTTCATGGGGTGGTTTGGTTTTCCATAACTCAAATCTCTCTTTTTTTTCTCTCTAGCTCTGTGGGTTCCTTTCATTCCCGTTACAACAGTCTGTTTTTCACCAACACGCTGTACAGATGAGCACTACTAATCCAGCGAAAATTATTTGGAATAATTGTGTTGGATTTTAATGACTTTTTTCACACAAAGCTCTCCCTGTTGCCTTCCATTATTCCATTCTAATTAATCTCATCAAGGGAAATGATGTGTAGTAATTTCAGAAAAAATTGCATTTGGAGTCATTGAATTAATGTATTTATCTGTTCCTTTGTTTTGTAATGATGATTTTCTCTCTGACATTGGTCTGTTGCTAGAGCCTGAATGTAGCCGTTAACACACTCATCCACAGAGGAACCTGCATGTCCTTGCACATCAGTGGTCGGTGGGGGGTTTCTGCTCAGCATGTGTGCACTAACTCACCTTGCCTCTGTCATGTTTCCCATATAAAAAGTGCTGGTGTGGTGGGCTCCTGCTGGTGGCAGGGGTAGGGGCCTTGTCCCACGGCTGTTGATGTGGGACTAATCCTCTCATTACCTCAGCCAGTGCTAGGTGCAGATGGCAGGTTGGCACCGAAACTGGGTGCACACCCCCCACCATCCCCCCCCTCTGTCTTTCTACCGCTGTCACCCAGAGATCCCCCTGACTAGTACATGCTCATTACTGTTAATGGATTGCTGCTGCGCTGTAGTATTAGTGTGTGTTGACAGTGCGCAGTTCATTTAAGTTTGCGCACGTTTGGTTTCCTGAGCCCGCGTTTCAGCGAGGGCGTGGACTCCGTTCGCTTTAGGTATCCGTTTAATGAAGACGGATGACAGATGTGATGGGTGAGAGGTTCAGGGCAGTAGCTTCAGCTGTGTCCTAGAAATGGAGAAATGATGTTGATATAATACTGTAACAGTGCATTCTTAAACACTCTCTTTAACACAGAGAGTGCTCACACACACACATATACCTTTTACAGTGGTCCTTTGTCTTTTCTTGATAGATTATTGGAAATTTCTACTTGTCTGAAGTGCCTGTAATCCCCGGACTATCAGAGGTCCTAGCAGACATTTACAAGGCTGTCAGCAAAACTGAGTCTGGCAGCCCATGAAATAGCAAACTGTTAAAAACATTCTTGTAAATTTTCCACCAAGATCCCGGGGGAAAATGTGAACAAACTGGGAATTGGGGAACAGCACTTGAGGTGGTATAAGCTGTTTGGAAAAAAACGAAAGAATAAAAATAAAAAAGCAGTACTTTTGTCAGCACTCTGCTCCACAGCAGATGGAGTGTAGCTGCATTCAGATATAGCACATGTTTACAGACCTTCACATAGCACCTATTCATTTTTTTTCCAGCTCTACTGGTACTTTGGGAAAGTAATGTGGGTTTCTTTAATATGAACAGAGAGGGGATGTATTTTAAACAGAGAGTGGAGCAGATAGACGGTGCTGGCTTGGGGCCAACAATTGACAGATGAAAGACTAGCGTGTGTGTGTGCATATGTGTGTAATTCTGCATGTGTGTTTGACTGTTTGAGCATGTGTGTATATCTGTGGAGGTCATTCTGGGCTTCCTGTTGACAACTGCAGACTGTGGGCAGATTTACTCCGCAGCAGATGCTGCTAAGGGACACAAGTCAGTCTGAAGTTTATGTTATACCATTTGGCTGCTTCTATTTATGGACCAACGGTATACGATGTGAATAGGTAGACCAAACAAAGCAGCTTTAAATGTCCTGGGAATATATGCTGCTTGTTTTCAGCGGTGTGTGTTAATGGTTGTGGACACCCTAATTATCAGACACACACACAGAAAAGGTAAAGCTGATTTCCATCCAAGTACTGAAACAATCTACAATAGAATCACTGTAGCATTCCGGTGACTTCTCTTATCACATCCTTCCCTCTGACCAAATCCTCCTTTCAAGTTCCAGTTCTGCTCAGTGTCTGTAAAATGTGATGTCACTTACAATTTGTTTCCCAGTGTGAGACTTTTTAAAGGAGGTCAAATCTGGATTTACTCAGAAGGTGAGTGAACATACATTGCCCAGAAAGTGAACATGTTTGTCAAAGACTGGAACCAAATCGCTTTCTGATTTGGAAGAATGGTCTGGCTAATTTCTTGTAACAGTCATTTTTTTGAAGATCTTAAACCACACCAAACCTGACTTTTAAAAAATGGTCGACAACCAAATAAAGTATTCAGTGTCATGACTTGTTCAAACGCTCCATCATCTCAAGTTCTCCTTAGTTTGGAAAAATAAAATGACAAGGCTCCACTGATTGGTCCTTCATGAGCAGCTACAAAATTGAATTATCTGTCTGATATCAGGGGCAGAAATCTAAATGTAGTCAAACAGATTGCTTTTGCTTAGGAAAAAAAAAATAGAATTAGAGTACGAAGAGAACTAGAGTACTAAGAATTAGAGTACTTTCTGCACTTTATGTTCTTTAGGTTAAGCTGGTCAGTTTTAAAAGTAATAGAAAACTTCTAAAAAAGCACACAGGTAAAGTCTAAGATTAAATGAGAACTTGTTGGGGAAAAAAACCCAAAACTTCCACTGCTTTACTTTTCCCTCCCCATAAACAGGCAGAGCCTGCCAAACAACTGAGCAGGTTAGGCCATGCTTTAAACAGAAAGAGTGGATTCGGTTTCACTGCTCAAACATTTACTAATTTGTTTTCTGTGTATGAGCCTGTAGTTTAACAAAGGCTTTGTTGTACCAGGGGAATATTTTTTGGCTTTTCTTCCCTTTCTCAAAGCATCTGTGCTGCATAGTGAAAGAGTGCTACATGACAGATAAGTTTCGCTTTATGCCCGCAACAATCATAGTTTTATTGTTCGGAAGAAGTGGTTTTGTCTGCAGGTCCTTGTGGAGAAAATCAGATGAAAGGAAGGCGAGAGGTTGATTGCACGTTATCCTAAACCAGCCTGACGCATGCCATGGTTTTCTGTGTTTTCCTCCGCTACTGTCTAGGTTTAATTTTAATGCCTTGGCTTGTTCAACGTTTCCTTTATTTATAGAATTTGGGTTTTGATGGCCAACTCACACATTTCTAATGGCTTCAAATAGCAGTGAGTGAATGTGGAAAACTAAAACCTGTATTCCCTGAAATATTGCCAGGAAAATGTCATGAGACATGTGGACAGCAAGCCTATGCTGAAGAGCTTGGTCCTATCTGGAGTTATTACAGATTTATTTGGATAGCAAACTAACTGTTGTGTTTAGGCATACGGGAGATAATTACTTTTTTAAAGCTAATACTCCATACAGAAATTTTATTTTAATAAATAAGGATTAATAGAAATGACATGGAATGATAAGCATTACCTAATCACAAAATTATTCTGTTCACGCTCACACAGTGGTTTTTCTGACTCAATTTAAAGCAGATTTTACTATTGCACCATTTTGTGCTCCAATTTCAGAATTATGTCATTTATTTTACTAGTGTATTTTGAGCTTTGAGATTTCCTCACAGAGCTTTATGTGATTACACACGGTCATTTCATCATGCATGGCTCCGTTTGAGAAACACACACTTGTCTGAGTGACCACTAAATGCAGTTTGAGAGACTTTTATCTTAATAGTGAATCCAAGTGCTGGTACTGTTGTTCTATTTGGAGAAAGAGGGAGTGGCTGAACGAGAGCCAGGTTGTTTTTTCATGAGTCATGTGGGGTTAGCGGCGTTGAAGAACAATATCCTGGCTCCCCCTGGTCCGTGCGGCCTTAATGCCTCTCACTTACACGACCCCCTTTTCTCTCAGCATCTCTCTGTCATCGCGGTACTTATGCGGGTCCCCTGCTATGACAGCTGTCCTTTCATCAAACATGGTCCTCTCAGACTGATGAGGCCTCAGCAACAGTGACATGGCTCTGCTGGCAATATTCAGGGTGAACGATCTTAGCTGCTAGCTTGGTTGCGTAAAGTCGCTTGGAGGCTGTCTTGTCATCACACATCACTATTTTAATAAAATAGAAGTAGAGGCTCTGTCAGGATATACAGTTCCCGATTCAGGACTTTAAACCTGGCAGGCTGGACAAACAGGAGATTTTATGACATCATCTGCTTTTGAACACGGCCTGGAAAGTACCTTATTATCAACTTTTCACTGCCTCTGCCCTCTGTTTTATCACCCATTACTCTCTTATCAGGGCAGAGTGGCTCTTATATTGACCTTGTGGGAGAGGCTCCGCTCCTTCCCTCAGCACTGAGTTCACAGTGCTGGCTGCCAATTGTTTGTCGATCTGAAGAGATCGATTAGGCAAGCCGTCTCGCTGTGCAGGGGTTAAATGTCTGTTTGACTGATGTTTGTTCGCTAAACGATGTCAGAAACAGAGTCCTTTTGAATGCACGGCTGAGAGGTTTGAATGAAATCTAGACTTTGTCAGACATGGTAGTGCTACTTTGTTATATTTCTGTCTTCAGCTTGAAACACAGATTTTTTTTTTTAGCTGTAGAAGTAAAAAAAAAGTGTTCCGTGTGGGTTTTCTTGAGTTGTCTTTAAAAACAAGTGACGGGACTTGCCAGGGGAGGCTTTGCCTTCATCACCCCCAGGAGTCTGAGTTCTCCGTGTTACATCATGATCTGTTCCTAGCACTTCACAAGAAGTGGCACAACATGATACAATGAAACAAGAGAAGATAAAAAAGACTGTCTAATGCATTCACAAAAAATCTTGGGGGAAAATATTATTTGGAAATGTTGGAGGCAGCGCCCTTTGACTCTCAGCATTATTGGCTGAAGTATGTTTTGTATCCAGTTCTGTAACCACGATGATTTCGGGGTAGATGTTTGGACCAGAATTTGAAAAAGTAGCAGTGGATGTATGATTGGATGCTTTAATTTTGATTGTCTGTAATATGTCTTTAAGCTGTTCAATGTTTAGAGTTGAGCACATTCCCTTAATGCGAATGGGAGCAAAGGGAGGTTTGGCCTGGTTCACAGCAGATAAACGATACTGTTGGCTGGGTTATTGATTTTACTTCCTTACTTCTCTGAACCTGACTCTCTGTCCATCTATACCTGTTTGCCTCCACAAAAGATTGCTGACAATCCTTCTTTTTTTTTTTTTTTTTTTTTTTTTTTGAGACCCGTCACCAGCCGCTGTAAGTTAGTTCCCTCCGTCCATCTCCCACTAGGCACACGATCCCTCTTGAGGCCAAAGGGAACAAGGCATATTCTGTTACAGGCAGTGCAAGAGAAAGAAAAACGTACTGTTACTAGATATGAGTGAAATCAAATCTCTTTGACTTGCCCGGCAGCTATGAGCATTTTTCATGCAGACAGAGAATACCCGGATTGAGTGAATGGAATGCAGTGACTCATGGCGCGCTTGACAGATTTACACTACTGTCGATATTTAAAGCAGATATCATTACATATTATTTAATATCCGCAGAAGATCAGGTACGGAATTGAATAATACAGACCCATAAATAATGTTTAGAGCTTTAGTTACACACTATTGTGAGTCTATTTCCGAAAATCTTTTTATTTTTATTTTTTTTTACTATTGCCGAAATTAAAAATGTTTCAATCCAAGTATTTATTTGTAAATTTGTCTATTTTAAGAAGGCTACTTTATTTTAAACTAGATCAAACTTGCAACAAATGCATGCAAGCAGTGATGTCTGCTTGACTCTTACTCTAAGTTGATTTAATTGTGGATATAATTTGTAACAATCTAAAGCCACTATCATGATGATAAGCTCGGTGACTCCAGAAGTGGGACACTTTTGTTCATAATGGCAATTATAGAGCTAGATGTGTTAAATCTAAGTGAGTCTGAGATGACATTGTGTTAATGTTAACACAATCTCACTTTATGATGTCAAAGGTCACACAGGAAAGAAAGACAGCAGCTGCACACATTAACCGCTGAGCTTTTTAAATGCAAAGTTTTCAGTCCAGTTCAGTCAACAACATGAAAGACTACAACTGCAAGTTTGCTGTGATCATGTATGGTCATTATCAGAGTTTAAGACTTTTTTATTTTGATTTTAAGACACTTATTCCATCAATAATGTGTTTGTTTGGTTGTGTTCTTTGCATTCCTTCAAATGTGTTTATACTTTGGATTTCTTTTTCGTCTTCACCCTTTTAATATGTAATTGGTTAAACCCATTTCGCCACATAATGGATTCTCATGGCTGTACTGTAAGAAAGATACAGCTCAGGTTAGCCAAGGGCCGAGAGTGGCACAAAAGTGGGGTGTTGAGAATTTTGTTCAATCCACTGGGACATGTCAGGGAGCTTGTTCATTTTAAAGCCGCTCTCATATTTCCGAACTAACATTCGGTTTGCACTTCAAAGACCCCTGGGCGTTGACACGCCGTCCTCTCTCGGGTTGGTGTGCATCTGAGTCAATTGGAATTGCAGAGTGAAAGAAAGGGCACTGGAAACAATGGCCATAAACAAGCCATGGGCCGGGGCTCCAGACCAGCTGTTGGCATGTTTGGTTTGCTCCAGCAGTGTGACAGATGTGCCGTAAGCCCCTGCGCTGCTTTTATGCTTAATATGTTTTTTTGCCTTGTGTGCATCTAAGTGGTCGGACGAGTGGTTAGGAGGAAAAGGGTGGAACACTGTGGAGAAAGAGCTCCACATATCACGTCAGTGAGTGCACTTCTCTGTCTTTGAATCGGTCAAATTAAAAAGTGTCTCAACACTTTTCTTTTCATATTTTCTGTCTCTATAACTTGTGATTAAGACACAGTTTGCGCACTGTTTACTGCAAGCCAACTGCAAACCTAGAGAGGTTTTTTTTAGCTAATGGAAGCACTGTGTTTGGTTGTTCCAGTTTGAGTCGTACTCAGGCAGTCCTCCTGGTGTTCCACCCACCAACATGCTGGATATGTGGCCGCTCTATGTGGCCCGTTGGATGATGCTGTATATGTGTGTGGAGCTCTGTGTCCCACCGAAGCCCTTCATGGGCAGATGCTTTTTGCTGTGTTGGACGTTAAAGTGAGATGCTAGAGGCTTCATCATCTGGTATCAGTCACTCTGTAATTGGAACAGCCCCGGTGGCTCAGTGCAGCCGTCCCAGACCCTGTTATAACCCCACCCACGCTCTATTAGAGGATGTGGCTCTACTTTCCCAACCATGTGTGGAGGGAGCTTTTAGGAGGGGTAAAAGAGAAAATGGAGGGAACCAAAGAAAGCCACAGGAGGGGGAGTGTGATCTCTGACTTCCTGTCCCATCTTGATGGTACCCTTCTGATTCTCAGACTGCCACTTTTTACATTTACACACATTTGTGTGTATAGTCGTTTTTTTTTTACTGTTCCATGTCTGTTTAAATATTAATATGATATGGCCATCCACAAAAGCTAAAGATCGTAGTCTGATATGGGTGTTATCCCTGGCCCATGTGTATATGTCTGTGGACATGTGCACAACGCGTGTGTGACCAATTTTGTGTGTGTGTTCTTCATAAAAGGCAGCTTGTGGAGCTAATTAAAAGGCCTTGTGTAGGACAGAGCTCATTCATCTTAGTGATGGGTCCAAGCTGTCACCACACGGTCCTGTGGGGGAATGAACTGCTGTTTCAGGAGGAAAGAACGCACAACAAAAACTGTCCGTTTCTTTCTCAACATCCATATTCTCGGGTTAGATATCAATCTACATTTAGCTTCTTTGTGTCTTCTTTGCACCATGTTCTTCTCAGCTCTTCTTTGCCTTCTCTGGAAAGTGTGTCCCTCCTACCAACCTTCAGCCATGATCAGTGACAGGAGCAGTTAATGTTGAGATGTGACAGCTTTGATGGAAACGTTAAGATATGCAGAACTCTTCCCACTAGGTTTTTCTATGCTCAGCAGGCTTTTTGGATCACAGGACAATTTTATTATCCGTGATGGGTCTGACAAAGACTGCTGGCAGTGGAATTTGTAAGTGATTCCTTTTTAGTATGCATCTGAGCCATGCATATTATTTGGCTTCTTTTGCCCACCCCCTTCCCCCTGGGTGAACCCATACTGCCTGTGTTCCTTCTCTGGTATCATTGCCACGGGCCTGGGCACACTTCCAAGGCAGCGAGAGGTGAAGTGTGTGGGTCAGGGAACATAAATGCCTCTGCCTGCTGTAACAATCAGGTAAAGTCGCGTATCACTTTTCCACGAATGAGAAAAACTCTATCTGTTGTTGATTATAGATTATGAAAATCGATCAAGGCTCTCCGAGCTGCGTGGTACTATATGTGCCTGCGAAATGTAACTAAATGTCTAAAGCTGTGAGTGCTCTCCTTTTCTAAGACCGGGTGGTTACAATGGGCAATGGCAGACTGTTCCTGTGTTGTACGCGAGTTGTAAGTGTGAATGAACCTGCATGACCTGGATGCCACATCAGGTTCACATTGTGAAACGTCTTCCATGTGATGTTTTGCAGGTGGAGCAGCGAGCTGTTTGGTTATTTAATGTCAGTCGTTTTTTGACTGATGGCCTTTCTGGATGGATCACAGGGTCATACGAGGTCTCTCTGCCTCTTACCCGGAAAAGCCTTCCCACCAAGCAGCTCTACCAGTTTGTTCTTTATTGTTTTCAAATTTGAGATCAAATGACACTAATGACCTCTTCTTAAAGTTTCTGGCACACAGAGCACTGCATAAATCCCTCAATTGAGAGGATAATAATACAGCACAGGATGTACCTTCCTTTTTAATCAAAAGCCAACGGCATGGTTTTTAACTATTGTAGACGTAGTCCAACAGATGTTTTGTGCTTAAAGCACACGCGGTGAGTCACAATCATACATAGAATTCTTATTCTGTGAGAAAACAGAACTATGCCAGTCTTGTAACCCTGTTTTCTATCTGGCCTCTGTTGGTTAGATCATGTGTATGCGGGAATGTGCCGGATAGCACCTGCAGAGCATGTAAAAACACTGTGTGTATTTTTTGTTTGCAGTGTAAGGGGTCGATCCCTGAGGGGGTCTGTTGTTCTGAGACACATGGAGAGCAAGGGGTCACTGGGGAAGGGGGGGGGGGGTCCTCACCTCCACATGAACCCTAAACTATTAAGCGGAGAAGTGAAGAGAGAGATAGGGGGCTGAGACTTGAGCTTGAACATACGTCTGCAGGGCCTTAAACAAATGATTGGGATTTCCTCTGCCTTTCTGACCATGTCTGACCGTCTAAGCTCTTATCTTCTATCTGTCTGGCCGAATGGATGAACCATCTCTGCACCCTTCTTTGTGCCCATTGTTAAAAAGGTAATAAACAGAAATTCACGAGGGGCATAGACAACGCTGGGCGTTGTCATGGTTACAATTTTATTTATTTATTTGCTTTCAATTTATTTCCTTTTAAATTATGGAAAGGACATTTTCACTGTGGAAATTTGTTCCAAGAAATTATGGAAATGGTATGTGGAACCTTCTTTCCCTTCTGTTTCACAGCTCTGGTGCTATTCCCGCTCTGTCAGTAGGAGGGTAGGTCATCTTAAAAAAACTGAAGATTCATATAATATAGAGTATGAAGTCTGTTTACAATCACAGTAAAATTTGAAATGAAAATATTGTTTAATCATCTTCAAACACTAAATGTCTGTGAGACACTTCATTATGCAAACTGTGTGAGAACAGGAACCTTTAATGGAGGGAAGCAGCATGAATCTCTCCACAGGGTAGGCCTAATGTTGACAACGCAGAGATATAGGCCTCGGTGGTGTGTGCCTCCGGGTGATGGATGGACGGAGCCGGGGTTAGAGCGGGGTCACGCTGTTTGTTTTGTTGTGTTTAGGTGGAGATGTTTGCCACACTTAATCACTCTGCCTTAAATCTGATGGCATATGTGTGCCATCTTTATTTCCCCCTCCCATGCACCCCGCATCATCCACTCACACACTAGTGCACACAGACACACTTTTAGATAAAATGAGGCTTGTTGAAAGCCACTTAATCACTATCTTCAGGTAAGTGTGAATGATTGCAGTTTCTAATATCTAATTGTTTCCCCCTGGTTGCAGTTAGCTGCGTATCAGTAGTGTTCTGCCATATTTGCCAGTCCCTTCATCTATCTTTGGAGGATCCTTGAGATTCCCTGCCGTTTGCACTTGTGTTATCATCTTGGCCATAATTTATAATGAAATCAAGTTTGCCTGGGGGAGTGTAAAAAAGCACCAAAATAAATGTAATGGAAGTTAAATGGACTCATGAAAGCAGGACTGGAGCCCCTTTACACTTCCCATCATCTCTTTCATCACGAAGCTCAATCAGTTGCCGAGACTCACTTTGTGACCTTAGAAAATTTAGCAAGGCAATGTATAAGACTCAGTCATCCACAGCCGTGTAGAATCCTCACTTGATAGACTATCCTATCAAGTGATATCAAAAACAAAAAATAGTCTCACTTCAGCAAAAAACAATGCTTTAAAATGAATATAAATGTTTTGGCTGATGTCAAAACTAGAGTGAAACAGCCACTCCAGCATTTAGACATTAATTTAGACTCTAATGGGACACATGCTTTCATATATTTCCATTTGTTTGTTAAGAATAACCCTTAAGTGCATGTTTATACAACCCAATTTTTAATAAATCTGCTTTCATTTACACATTTTATTAGTTTAATTTAGCCATCTTAAAGACAATGTTTTTTAAGTTTTTATGCATCATTATGCATAAATAATTTACTCTCCTCCCATGCAGGTGTACTAGGACATGGTCAATTTAAATACAGTAGCACTTTTAGTTAATTTCTTCTTTCCCCCTTTTTCCACAGATTATTCTGCAGGTGTGATCATGCAAACTATAACTGTTTTGTTTCCTCTTCACTGCTGCCTCCACGCTGTACGTTTTCTCCACTGCAGCTTTTGACGTGTGAATAACAGCCAGTAGATCTTCCTCTCTCTGAGGTGATCGTTAACCAATAGTCCCATATTTCTAACATTTCACAGCTGTTGGTTTAAAGCACTAGACCGCATGTCGTAGGCATGCGTGCCCAGTCGACTTTTACTAGACAAACAAAGGTTCTTGACTCTTTGAATTTTTCCTGAAACATTAAATCAAAGCCTCAAACGCTGCTCTGCCTTCCTCACCTGTATGGGCTACTGATCTTTACTGTGGCCCCCAGTGGGAGCATGTCAGCTCCTGCTGTAATGAAAGTAAATGTAATAGCCTTCACCTGGAACACGGACGATCACTGGGCCATATCCTCACTTTCACGCCACACGGCCCCCAAATAAACTCCATACATGTTTGCAATGGTCCCCTGCAAGCCCTGTCACATTTATCTTCTCACCCTGATGTGACTTGGCTTGGTTCCAGGATGTCAACCATTGCAAATTATCATATAAAGGGTGTAGGCCACACATTGTAGATTGAGCAGGGGAATGTAGCAGCATAGGCGTAATAGAGGTATGTTTGCTTATTTCTGCGTCACATGACCATCTTTTTTTTTTTTTCCTTTTTTGTTTGTGCTCAAATGTGACAGACATTTGTACATGTATGTCGCTACCTTAGTGTTTTCTTCTCTGTGGCACTGATTGGATGAATGAAGGTTTTAGCAATGAGTTATCCTTTGTAACATAAATGAATATAAATGCTGAACTGTTCATTCTTTCATTCTTTCATTAGGACAATCTCACAGACAAGTGCTAGATTGTCGCACTGCTAGACGGATCCCCTTTTTACACAAAATAACCTTCTCTCAACCTTTCAGAAAAGCTCATGGGAGTGGAAGTCGTGAGCGATCTTGTGTAATTATCATGCTGTTAATTAGCCTTGTGTTATCATTAAAATTAATAACTTTCATGCAACAAAAGGCTCTCGTTGAAGTCGTCCTACACAGTTACTACCTGTAAACGGTCACCTTGCAATCTGATCTTTCCTCTGTCATTTCTCCAGTGACAGAAACCTAGTTTTCGTATCCCAGGTAGCAGTCGTAATGATAAACTTTCTTCAAAGAAACTGTTTTCCGGAGGATGAAAGCATTCCTATCTTGCCTTTTTTTTTTAGATGTAGATGCTGTTGAAGCAGCCCTCCTGCTGTCAGAGCTTCAGGAGATTGTAGAAATCCTTTAAGTCAAATACAAGGGGGCAATCAAAATCCAACACAGAGAGAGAATAACTACCCTAAATGTGTTTTCATCAAAGTGACTATCTCCTCTTCCCCCCTCGCTTTTCATCTTTTATATATTTCTCTGACAAAACATCCCTTTGAGGCTCCGTTCTTCCCTGAATAAGTTTGTGATTTTACACTTACAATAAAAAGACACCAGCCATTTGTCGATTCCCACCAACTTTTGATTTTTTTTTTTCTGAGAAAAAGTTTGGAATAACTTTACCTCATTAGAAAAAATGGAAAAAAGGCAATTGTTGACAGTATATCTGTGAGCTACTCATTCCTCGCCCTTTTTAAGTCACTTGTTTTTCTGCACATTTCGCTGTGTGCCTACTCATTTGTAGCAATACTCTGTCATTACCTGGGACAGAGGTAAGTTAGTGGTGTCTTTTTCATTATGCAGTTCCTATTCTGTTTGCAAATAATCATCATGCTATACAAGCTCTGCCTCCTATTATCTGCTCCATTCTGCTCTGTTCACATTCTCTTTGCTTTCCACTGCTCCTTCAGTGTGGCAAACAGTAACAGTTGGGTGGGAATGGAACTCACTGAAATGCTCTTCGCTATGAGTAGTTTCACAGTATGAGGCAAATTACATAAAAATTAGACTCACTTAATTGACTACAAGATATTGTGGGCTGTGAATTTACAGTTTGGTGCAATTGTGCCCATAGAGACTTCCTCTTTGTTTGATTTGCCCTTTTCTAGAGGTGAGACATCCTAACTTTAAAATAGGTCACTTTGGCCTGTTCTCCTCCACAGTTTGCCACTAAAGCTCATCATAAATAGCACATTCTAGAATGTGCCTTCCTTTGATGAGAGTTCAGTATGCATATGTGATCAAAACGTGTCCAGACTGGTTGAAGTTTTCTATTTTAAATTTCTCCAAGGGATAAAAGTAAGGTCAATAGTTCCAGACATACATTTGAATGCTGCTCTTTAATTAGACAGGTGTTGAAAGGGAGGTCGTTTTGTGCACGTATTCCAAGGAACTAGCTTTATTTGGGCAGTATTAACCTGCTGAGTCATCAGTAGCATCGTACTCTTTGCTCACAGCTTGTTATGCAAATTGCACATGATTTGTGCAGTTGTTTGTCATGTGTGTATGTTGTATGTACACTTTAGGTTTTTGTGTGATTCTTCATAGCACAAGGCACGAAAAAGGACATAGGAGACACATGTAAGATGCTTTTCTGTGTTCCTCTGACACACATCTGACATATACAATACTTTTGCAAGGTTTACCACAACATACAAGGGATACAAAAATTAGTACACAAGAAAATAGAACACTGGGAATAGCCATATACTGGCTTTGAAGTAAGAGCTTTGGTGGACATAATCTATTTAATGTGTTTAATTTGATGGAGTTAGTAACCTACATTCACTCCTTTAATCTCCTAAAAGCCAGCCTTTTAAGGGCGGACTCCTTTCATCATATCCTTCCTTTTCACCTGTTTTACTAGATTTGCTAAAAATCCTAAATGCCTGCTTGATTAGGCGAAAGCTCACACAAGGTTCAACCTATAAATATGAAAATTAAATGTGTGATTATGTCTTTTGAAATTGAAATTACATGAAAATATGCTGAAACAAAAGCACTTGATCAGTTGAAGACTTTATTTGTTTGTTTATGTGATCAGTGAGAGGAACAATTGCCAGTCGTCCTTCATTTATTCCCTATATGAGTGTGTATTTTTGCTGTTTGGTGCTGAAGGATGCATTGTGGCCATGTAACCCACACAGAAGGCACACAAAAACTCACGACTGCATGATGAATTCCTGTCACCTACTTTTTCCCTCCACCGGTCAGGCAGACAGAGGCGTTCATTGATTGTGGTCATCCACAGATTACAATCAAAAGTATCCCTCAAGCTATGAGCTAATCTTACATCTTGAGGGTACAAAAGACAGATGCTGGGCTGTAAAGTTCTTTATCTTAATGTGTGCAGATGCCACCCAACAGTTTTCTCCCATTCTTCATCCACTACTGATGCGTCTTGTTTATCCACCAAAAGATTTTATTTTGTCCTTCAAGTTTAAAAAAAGAGCCAAGAATTATTAGAACAATTTGATGTCTTATAAATCAAATCATTTAAATGACTAATGACGGAGAGAAAGCTCCATGCAGTTTTCCAAACGCTGACAAATAGACTGCAATTTCATCAGTGTATACCATTAAATTGATTTATGCATAATTTGCGTTCAGACTTAGCACCATTTTTTATGGATGTCTTTATTCACCATCCACATCAGCTCTCTGAACAAAATTCAGTTTTTAATTGTAGTTTACTGATTACCCATCTGTGTGCCTGCAATTACACAGCTCATTATTTGGGTGACTTAAAATGGAAAGACCCCATCATGTGCATTTGTCATGTTACTCAGTGTATTGTGAAAAAACATCCCAAATTCCAAAGATTCTGGTGAACACATTTAGGTTTTAAAGGCTACCCTGTAGTGTGAACATGACATATTTTGTTGGATAAACACAAAATTACCTATGAATGATTGATTGGGTGTCTCTTTTGTCTGGTTTCTATGGTGTGTACACCACTGGCTGCAGAGCTTTAGAGATATGCAAATTTCCATAGCACTCAATTCATAACCCTTGCAACACATTTACATGAGATTCAATGTCCATTTCCATTGTATTTTTGTGTTGCACAGTTTAAATTCGTTATGGCTTTGCAAGAAGGGGACAGTGGCCTTGAGGGCTAAAAGACTGATGGCCTGCCCCTGTACTCTTTGCTTTTAATTTATCTTCTGATGGGATGTAAATTGTATTTCTTCTCTAATCACCAAGCAGCCTTCTACCATCCTTCTTTCACACAGTGCTGTGTCCCTCCTTTAGGAGTGTAGTTAAAGACTGACCACTGATCGAGCACCGAGAGCCCTCCCAGGTCAGGCCTGAGTGCCCTCTTGACCTTTGCCTGCTTAACTCCAAATTATGATGTATTAAAGCACAAAGAACTACTAATGCCGGTGCATGCATTAAACATCTGCCCCGCTCCTTGATCAAAGCCCTATTTACAGCAGGACGTTAAATATGCTCACAGGAAGTAGTGGTGAGTAAAAAAGGTCAGGGGTCAGGACGAGCGTGTGAAGTGGACCTGTGGCTAATTACTGGCTTATGAGGGTCTTTGTAGTGGGAGCCAGCTGTAAGACGAGAGAACCGAGCCCTTTAATGTTCTGTTTGCAGCCCCTAAATGTTTCTCTATATCTTACAGAAGCATTCCTGCTAGACAGAAATGGAGGCTGCCTCTTTGATGCTGATTGGCCTTGTCCTTTAGTCTTGAAAGCAGATGATAATCTGTACTTCAGGTGCCTAGACAGAGAATGCTCGCTCCTGATTGCAGTGAAAACCATTTCCCATCATCCCGGAGTGTGATTGTGGAATTGCTCTCAGGCTACTTGGAGGCCACGCATATCTTTCAAAGCGAGTGATCATTGTCTTAGTTCGGAGTTGCGGCTCCATTCCTGTGGTGTCAGAAATTATACAGTTGGTCTAAAAGGACAGGATCTGCTGTTTGGACTTGACTCGGCCGCAGAGTGCAGGGCTGTTTAGCTCAAAACCCCTCAATTTGCTTAGACTTAAATGAGACATTGAGAAGTAACCAGACATTCCTAACATGAGTGAGCAATCACTCTGCATTGTCAGGGCACAGAGACGAGAAACAAAAGTCAAATTAAATTAGCTGGGAGCGGGTGCACGGATCTGTGGGATTCCAGGCGCGCACTTACAGTGTCTGCTCCAACTTTCTGAGAACTGTTTGGGTTTGGGCTAAATGACTAAGATAGCTGAGTAATGCTTAATTGTACTTCTGACACATTTTACTGCATGCTACCGTCACTCATCACGATTACAGTTAGCTGTTATTGGATTTAATTCTATTACTCATTAGTAATCCTTTGTTGTTGTCAATAAGAGTTTCCAAAATGTGTGTCTTCTTTAAAACTGATTTTTTTTTTGTTCAGTATCTGCTTGTTTCAGTTTTAGCTGAGAGTATAAGCATCTTTGGAACGGCTTAAAGGGAAACACAAAACAAATAATGACATCACTGAGTGATTTATTTAGAATTTGGTTATGTTTTAGGTTATTGTCAGGGAATAACTACAGTAGGATCTTTTGAAATGTATGATCATCTAGTGGAAGATTTGTGCATGAGATAATGCACCTGTGACACAGATTACGTGATTCCCACATCAGATATCCACATGCAAAACATGGCTAAAACAGAAGCGAGGCCTCTTTCCCGCTGAGGTTGAGCCTGATGAAGTTTAGACGCTAGGACCTAATTTTCATAAAAACGAGCTTCCCCGCAAGCAGGCATGACAATGGTCGGCAAGGACTCAAATGCAAAAGGACCAACAACACAGTGAGAGATCAAAGGAACAAAGGCCCTTGTTGTTCTTCATAGACAGACAGGGACACATTGCAACCAATTGCAGTAACCGTTGTAACTTGGAACATTGTTTTTTCATATATCTTTCACAGTTTAGTCTCCACTTGATGCAGAAAATTATGCCAAGAATATAGTTTGTCTATCTGTATTTGTCATTTTCCCTTTTTATATGTTGTGTCAATTTATAAATATTCATTCAATTCATTTCTTCCTGTGCTATATGAAGTCAGCTAACCTAGGTTTTTCTTGTTTGAACCCAATTGTCATACTAATAAACCTCCGACTAAACAAAAATACAATTACCGTCCAAATTATTCAGGTTTTTTGCAACGATAGCCTTTACAGGCTTAAAAAGGCTCCAAGATAGAAGTCACTGTGGCTTGGCTGTCTGCTCTGCTCCTCTATTGCAACACCCCGAGGCTGTTGAGGGTTAGATGTTCAAGAGAGGAGTCGGTGAGGTTTCAGAAAGAGATTTAATTTCTCATTATTAGCATCTAGTTGAATTTGCCCTCAAAGAAAAGTTTTGAAAATGCTGGTATGAAAAAAAAACAAAATTCTGATTACGTTTTCTTGGTTTGACTCCCTCTTGTGTCTCTGTGGCTTGTGTATGTGCCTGGCTGTCTCTGTCTTTGTATGAGGGTGTACGTACACCATCTTTGGCAGAGGTCGCTCCCCCTTTCCTCTAATTGGCGAGCTTCCCTCTCTTCTTGCCTGCTACATAATTGGACATGCAACCCCAACCTTTGCCTCGCGATCATCGCCTCTCTCCAGCCCCCCTCTGCATTCTATATACTTCTCATCCCAGTGTGAGCCTCTCGGTGGACCCGTCTTAGCCCGGTAGATCAAAGGGAATATACAATCCCGCGCTGCCCAATCGCAGCTCAAGTTCCTCTTGCTTCGCTGACAATACCAAGTATAAGAGCAGCACGAAAATAATTTTTATGTCCAGCTGAAAATATTGGATCCAACATTTCCCCCCTTCTACCTGAACCTCCAGAGAATCTCCTCCCTCTGCCATGCATGAGAGCAAGGTTATTCATATTCGGAGGGGGGAGGGGCTCCGCTGGAATAATTCATGAGGGGTTCAATATCAAAATATTCTGCTCTGCTCGGGCCCTTAATAATTCATACTTAGCATTCATCTTCATTGGTATAGAGTGCAGAGGAGCCATCCGTCACAATATGAAGTCTAGCTTTAACTAGTATCCAGTCGTAGTGCGTGTTGGCAGGGTGGAGCAGGAGGGAGGGAACAAAAGGAGGAGGCATGTGCTTTTGTCACTCTGATGAGCCACCAGCACCCCACCTAACCAAAAACACACGCACACACACAGGCACATCACTGGCAAGGAGGCAGTTTGAAGAGAAGGCTGAGCCGTTGACCTTTGGGAAAGGACCACCGGCTTCAGATTGAGTGATGGCGTCAGCCGCCAGTGTAAAACACCTCTATTAGAAATGCTCGGCATGCTTCAGTGCTTCTAATTATGAAGAATGCAAAACAACAGTCAGGAGAGAGATGGGTGCTCACCTCACATTCAGCCTTTCTCAGTTACTGCTTGTCTCGTGCCCACATGACTGTGTAGATATGACACATTCTCCACCTTTTGCTTTGTACTGAAAAAATCCTCCCACATTTCTATATATGCCAACCACTAACAACTGCCTGTAGTTCTTTGTTTGTTCCGCCATTTTTTTAATTATTTTGTTAAGCCTAGGAAACCAAATTGGACAGTAGCAGCAGCAGTAATTGTACCAAATGCCGGCTAACAGTGGACACTGACAAATTCAATCTCAACAAGGGGAGCCTCAGACAATCCCTTCATCTAAGAAAAAAATATTTCAACAATACTTGGCAATGAAGGGAGGCATGGTAGACTGAAAGCATGAAAACAGGGACTCCCTACAGATTTTTCCACCCAGACACCAAGGCCAACAACAGGTGTACAACAATTCTCCTTCTACCTCATTTACATATTGGTCAGAAATGAATACCAAAGAGACTGACCTGATAGAGGAAGCTGGGAGATTGGAATGCCACAATAATAGGTATTTACAGTTCCCAGAGTGATCAGCCATATGCCATAAGCTGTTGTAAAACAGATTTCATCTTTCTGTAGCAGTAAATAATGCTTTTCTAGAATAACCCAAAAGGCAGATTTATCATCTCATTCAGTTTTACCAGCGGCCATAAAATGTTTGTTTATTTGATGGCAGCCAAGCGTTGCCATTGCTCTTTAAGGAATGTCCATGTGCCCAACCCAGTAACCTTGAGGCTAATGGTGGAGGCTAGTCCAAGGGGGAGAGCCTTTCAAAATTATAAAGCTAAATTAAATGAAAGAATAAAATACTCAGGTTGATAATTAAAGCAACAACACGTACGATGCCGGGAACAGGGTGATTATTTCATCTCTGGGAATGAATCATATCCATTCGCTTATTTTCATTTCCACTCAGATTCTTATAAAAAAAGCTATTGAGGGGTTATCACACATATCCGAAAATAAGTAGTGTAACAGTTACCATGGCTTATTAATGTTGGATGTCTGTATACATATACAAGCTTCTTTAGAGTGTTATTTCTTGTTGTGGGAAAGGAGCAGGAATCAGCAGCATGACAAGTGAGGGTGAGGGAAAAATGGCCTCAAATGAGGTCCAGGTGCAAGTAATCAATTTCATGGAGCTTGGTTTTGCAAGGCTGCATGCTGAAGGAGACTGTCATAATTGGGCCAACATTTCAGACAGGTCATGGGTTTACAGCATTCTTTTTAAGGTACACACACAGAGGCGTATAGTTCCTGTGAGGGCCCATACAAATCGCAGGTTATTCTACACAATTAACTCACATTTCCTGGCGTTGCCCCCCTACCCTCGTGTGTGGATGAACAAACTTACTGGAGGAACTTTTCTCACTATACATCACAGAGGAAAATTCATGTCCAGCCTCCTCACATTAACAAAAGGAGCTGTCCAGCAGTCCAGGTGTTAGCTAAAATGTAATTTATTAAAGCTATACCTGTATTCATATCAGTCAAGTTTGCAGGTGTCTTGTTATAGCTTGTTATAACTCCTGCCCCTGCTTTTTCAACTTTAATCCCTTATTGGCAACAGATCATTAAGACATTCAAATTAAAATATTTAATAATACAACAGCAAACAGCAGTAATGATCTACCTTGAAATAATTTACTTTAAATACCACGGAAAGATTATACCCAGCCGTTTAAATGATCAGAAATATTCCTGTGATTGTCTTGGATGCACGCAAAGTTGGGTTTAGTGCTTCATGTCAAAAATGATCTTTTTAATGACTCACTGCCTAAATTATATGCTCCAAAGAATGCTAGATTAAATTAGAAAAAACGTTGTCTTAATTGCTTCCATTTCACCATAACAGCAGGACCAGAAGAGGAAGAAAGCCGAGGAGAACTGACATGTACTGGCATCTACAGTCATATCTGCTGACAGACACACAGTTCCGCGGGCTGCACACAAAAGAACACGCATCTTACAGTCTATTGCTTTTTTTTCTCCCGCCTTAATGGATCCAATTACTCTTTCAAAGACTGCCACACTGTACCTTATGGTGAACCAATTGTGATGGTAATTCAGTTGTTTTTAATGGACACCCTCTCAGTAATGAATCTGTAGGAGGGAGAGATTTTCCAGACAAACCGCGGCTCACGTGGTAAACGCAGGTTATGCTAATGCGAGGTGCAGGGAGGTTGTCATGTCTCCAGAGGAAGGGGTGTCATATGTTTTTCCCGTATAATTGAAGAGCCGTTCTTGTAATTGCCCCCATTTTTGTCCACTAATGGGAAGCGAGGGGTTTGTGTGTGGCGTTAAAGGTTTATCGCGGTGTGTTAAAATAGCTTAAAAACTCCTCTATGATACTGAGATACTGTTTAGCATATTTTACCTTTCTGCATTGTATGGGTTACAGTTAGAGACCTGGTTGCAGCTTTTTGGGGAACCCAAACGATGAGGGCTCAGCAGATGGCTGTTCTGTTCAGCGTGGATTGACAGTTAACATAAACTAAATAGAAAACATTCGTAGTAATCTGGTATCTTCTCTCCTACGTCTAATACGTTCATGTTCTTGGCAGTTCCCCCCCACCAGTCGTGGAGTACCCTCCCCCTTCCACTCACAGGTTACTGATCTCTGACACTTAACAAACAGGAGCCAGGGAGGGAGACCACCGGACACAGAGGAGGCCACTGTATCCCATTACTTTAGGCTGGATGAATAGATCGGGGCAACAAAACCCCACGCTGCTCCTAGACTGCCTTCGGGGCACTGTGGTCCAGAGAAAAAGAGGGAGGGCGAGTAAAAAAGAATGAGTGAAGTACATTCCTGAAAGGAGAGATGGGATTGAATGACAGGGGAGGACAGGGGGCCAGCGGTGACACTGGCGGCCAGTCGGATCGGGTTTTACCCTGAAAAGCAGGCTTGGAAAAAAACAATGACATCGGCATCTGTCTGGAAGGGAGAAACAGAGACTTGGATCCTGTCCTGTCGAGTGGTGAGGGTTCACTGGAATGCCTTTAATGTAACCCTGCCTGTACTCACAGTGGATACTCCAAGGCTCTCCTTGTAGAACGTAACATAAATCAAACTCTATTGCCGCTTCAATTTAAGTACACTCACCACCTCTAAAGCTTCCTTTTGTCATTGAAAACAATTTTAATGAGAGGTTTTCAGTGAACGACGGTCAGGATTGTGTGCCAAGGTGACTTGGCTTGTCCTCAGGCCATATTCTGCGTTAGATAAAGATCAGCATTCCTTCACTCTACAGATGTAGGTCATATGGCAGCGGCAGTTCAAGCAGCATTTGAGGCCTGCTTCATTTGTTTTCTATCACATCACTCTTTGCCATTGCATATCAGATTAAAAGAGAGGTATTTTCCCATCTTTCTCCGCCTTATTTATTTGATTTATTTTCACTCATGGAGCTCATATCCTACCACATGACATGTGCCATATTAGTGAACATGTGTTAAACAGACTCTCAGCTAAACGCTTGCTTTTAAGCAAGGGAAATAAAGCAAATAGACATAAAAACAATAGTTTGAAATTAATCAAATAAATTAAAGTTTTATTGGTATTGAAAACAGGCCTAAGCCTTTATGACAGATCTGTAATTTAGAGATAACTTTTGTCTACTGTGGGTATTGCTATTGAACTTGAAATGCAACATTAACATTTTAAATACAAAATTATTAGGACTTGGCATGTGGTAACTTAATTGTTATGACTCTAAAAACTCCAAAAATGAGTTAGTTAAATATCATAATGTCCATTTCTTCTATAATGTAAATCTTGTTGCGTTATTATGTAGAAACGCTGCAAGAATCCAAGAAAAAACAACAAAAAACATCCGGAAACCCAGCAGAATTTGAACAAACACAGAGATAATCCAGCCAGAGTCCTCTATACTCTACAGATGCAAAACACCCCACTGCCAAACTTCCATCTACTGATAACTGCTTATTTGTTGGTGGTATCCTATCAATTATAGGGAAAGAGTATTTCCCTTGTGTCTACACTAAGGGGACAGGAAGAGGCTAAATTGTGGACAATTAGCTTTGATTTCTGGTCAATTAGTTGCTTTCTTTCCTACATTACTGTGTACATTATCTTTGAGGAAAAGGAAATCGTTGTTTGGCTCTCAGAGACTCACTGAAAGTTCATCTTGCCTTTTATAAGGTTCTTTATTTTGCGAAACTCCACATTTGAGATGGATTGGTAAATTTGAATCATTAAGATTTTAAGTTTGTTTCTTGGTGCAGGGATATTTTTGGCTCGTTATACATTCTACTGGGAGCTGGCTTACAGGAGAGGAGGGAATGCTCGGGTTGCTGGAAAGGAAATTGAAAAGAAACAGAATAGCAGGAGTCAGATTTCATTAAACAACAGCGAACAGAAATGGAGAAAGACTAGTCATAGAGGGACAGAAACAAAACATATTTTCTCGTCGGCTTAAAGAAAGCAGATAGAAGTTATAACTAGTACTATATAATTACTATATGATTAGTATAGTACTATAATTAGTATTAATTATAGTACTAGAATTAGTACTATACTAGTGTGTTGGCAAGTTAACTTGCATAAAGTGACAGTCTGGATCATCCCCATGTTGTTGTGGCCTTTATGCTCCAGCTTTATGTTCCAGGTTGATTTGCAAAGTTTTCTGCACCAAAGAGATGAATTAAGTGCAGACTAGCACTGCTGCCTTATGTTTTACCCTCTGGCCATGGGTCAAAGGGCTGCTGGTTGGAGCTTTCCACTTTGTTATGACACATACACACTTGCATGCTATAAAGGCACGAGTGGTCAAGCTGACATTGTTTCATGTGAAAACACAACAGCGCACTGAGGGCTCTTTCAAATGCCCGCACATAGTGTGGAGTGGGGAGTTGTCCATTTTGACTTTAATTGTGTTGTTGTTTCCATTAGCCCAGGTCTCATTATGGACTTTGCAGGGCGTGGGTGGATGAGGATTCATGCATGAAGCAGTGACAGGGGGCTTTTAGTGGACGGTCAAGAAGGTGGAGGGCCTCTTCATCTTGGTTATACCTCTTCTACCTCATGTAGAGTGGCCATGGATTGCTCTTACTACACCATTCATGCGGATCATTGCCGTCCTTACCTCAGCCATACCGAACAATAGCTTTTGATAGTGGTTCTGACTGAGCTGCATAATGTTGAGTACATTAGTGACAAATTTCCCATCTGTGCTGTGCTCACAGTTGGAGTATTTTTAAGATAATGCAGAATGTGTTTATAAAGGCTACAGTGAAACAAAGGGTTGTGTTATTTTTCATGGATTTGGATCTTTCTCTATCTGGCTTTGAGCCTCTTTGTATTATAGGCCCACACCACAGTCCTGTTTTATGAATAACAGACTAATTACACACAGGTAAAGAAAAGAACAATTTATCATAAATGTCTTGGAAATTTTTTTTCATTACTCACATACATGTGCATCATCTAGCCCCGAAATCATTTTGACTAATGACTCCCTCCTTTATAAATGAGGGAGTCATTAGTAAAAACATGGAAACTTGTTTCTGTTTGACCAAAACACATAATACACATTGGCATGGCGACCCTATCTGCAATCAAAAATGTTCAAACTGGTGCATTGGCTATGTCAGAATGGTATAAAAAAAAATTTTTTTCAAAGTTTGGTGCCAAAAATATCAACTAACGATGCCAGTAGGAATGAATAACACACTGAAGCAATTAAACCTACCTGTACAAACAGGCATGACAGAGACAGAGAGATCACTTTGCAGAGAGGGACCGTGCAGCCTTTCCTGTCACTACAGGAAAGGATGTTCTGTGACCAGTTCACTCCCCAGTGACTCCTACAGTATCGTGCTCAGGCAAGCACAGGATACTGCCGCAGTGTACAGTAAGAGCCACTTTGACTTTGAAGTGTTATTAAGGAGGGAGGGCAAAATGGATGATGACAGATAAAGGGTCAGACACGAGGATTGGACGGGAAAAAAAACACCAGCCAGGATTTTAGCCGCATGATGACAGACCTCATACTGCGCTTGCAACGTCTCTGTTTACCAGTCGGGTTTTCCACTCTCTTGGCTTTGTTGTAGCCTTGTCAAGAGGTGAGGTGTTTTTCTCTCACCATGCTCATTCACGATGACATACCCTCGGGTTTTCCAGGCCCTGTTCATCTCATCAGAGGTGAGAGAAATACAGATGAAACTCTGACGCAAAAAGGTTTATAGGTGTAAAGCCAGAGGCTTATGAATTATTCAGGGATACTATACACTGCATAGAATGCATTTCGAGATTTTCTTACAATTTTATCGCTGCTTTCTTTTTAAGATACTTGTTAATCAGTGAACTAAAGCTGCAGAGTGAAGAAACCGATGTCCTCTGTGGCTGTGGCGCTCTGGTGTGGAATCTACAACCTATGAGCTGTTTTCACTCCCCAATCCAAACACACCCTGATTAAATTCCACGATCTTCCTCTGCTCCTCATATATATTTTTACTGTCTCTGTTTTGATATTTGATCTCATGCTAATTAACTCTTCTGTGGCAAATCTGCAGTTTCGGGCCAGAGCAGTTTTATACTGCAGCGTGTTGCTCCCTCAGGCATGTTTTGGGGCTCTCTTTTGAACACCTTGTCTGATGTGGGGATGATGGTCAACCAAACACTTCAATGGCCTCAAAAAAGTTGTGCTTTTGAGGACATTGTTCATTGAAAGGGGGCCTCATCACAAAGGCCGAAGTGGAACCACAGAACGATGCATGTGATAAAAGAAGGCTTCGGATATTGAGCGCACATCCATCGCCACTTCAAAAAGCAGTAGATCCTAAGGAGCGTTTACTATTGTCTGTCATGCAGGTGTGCCACCTCCCATAGGCTCTGGAGATCCCAGAAAGCCACATGGAGGGTTGGCA